TTAGAAACTGTTCATTCTAAGCATTTCATATGCGGTTCATTTAACCCTCATCACAACCCTTGCTAAGAGGTATTATTATTGCCTACAGTTTACAGATGAGGAAACTGAGGCACAAAGAAACTAAGTAACTTGCCAAAGGTCACTCAGCTAGTAGCGGGTAAACCCAGGATTTGAACTCAGGCAGCCTAGTTTCAGAGTGCACACTGCTAGCACCACCCTCTCCTGTTTTCAAAGAATGCAAGAACAAGGTATCATCTGGAGGAGGCACAGTTCATGAATTAGAGCTCTGGAGGGAGCTGAATTGAACAAAAGGTTCAAATGCCAGAAGAAAACCACTTCCAGAATGGAAAGACCACAGAGAAGAAACCAGGAGGGCCTCCCAGGCTCTCACACATAATCAACAATCCAAGAGGGTCACTAAGACACAGCCTGGAAATATCTGAAAACAATGTGTAGTAGGAAAAGAGAATAAAAAGAACTCCAAGGAAATAAATTAAAGCAGATTATGTGAAAGGGAATCCAGTAGAGTTACCTTTGGTTTTTGGTTTTTCTTCTTTTTAGTAACAGAAGCCCAGAGACAAGACAATTTTATTTATTTACTTTTAATCCTCACCCGAGGATATTTTTTCCATTGCTTTTTCAGGGAGAGAGTGGAAGGGGGAGAGAGAGAAACATCGATGTGAGAGAGACACATCGAGTGGTTGCCTCCTGCTTGCTTGTTCCCCAACCGTGGCTGAGCCTGCAACCAAGGTACGTGCCCTTGGCCGAATTGAACCCGGAACCTTTTGGTCAGTGGACTGACGCTCTAACCACTGAGCAAAACCAGCTAGGGCAAGACAAATTTATATATAAGACCTCGAAGAAAAAAAGGTGAGCAAATCAGAATACTTCAAGCTGTCATTGTAAACAAACAAAATGATGCCACCCCCCCCTTCAACCCCCAGGACCAGGTGCCCTTGTCACTCCTCCACCATCAAGCTGTCTCCAAGAGCTGCAGTCAACAGCCACTATACATTTCCTCAGCTCCTCTAACTTCAGTGCAAGTTGACTTAGGTACTCAGTGGGAACTGAGCATGCTGGGATCACTATCAGTTTTCTAGTTGCAAAAACCAGTGGCTTAGCTTCTCCTTGTTCTACTGGACTTCTGGGTGTATGGCCACTGCCCTTTGTAGAGAGTCATCTCTTCCACACCACTTTGTCCTGCTTCTGCCTCACCTCTTCTTCTAGCATCAACGTGCATCCAGGCCTGGCTTGCAATCCCACTCACTAGCTTGGTAACAACGCCTTAGAGTCTTAGTTTCCTGGCCAGCAGAGTAGGGTAGTAATAATTTCCATACATAGGGTTACTGAGAAGTAAGCCATCTGAAAAAGCTCTCGCCACCCCACACTGGACGTGTATTACCGCGCTCAGTACATTTTCTATTGCCTACACATGGAGACTGGTGTTTGCCAAGAGGCCATGCTGAGCCCTTTTATTTTCTGTCTCCATCCTCTGCCTGGGGGTGAGCGAGGATTTTATACGTGGCTTTATACATGGCTTAGACATCCTCCTTGGGGCAAGTGCGTCTCACACCTTTATCTCCTGCCTCCACATCGCACCTGTTTCTGACCCATATTACTGCTCCTAGATGTTTTCCTAGACCTCCTGAAGTAAGTTTCTTAATTCAGCAAGTCCTAAAATAGACTCTTCTGTCTCTCTCCAAATCAGTCTCTGCTACACCCTCCACATACTTTAGGCCCCATCCATAAGTTGGTCAATATTTCCACCATCTACTATTACCTTCCCTAAAACAAACAAACAAACAAACAAACAAACAAAACCCTCTGAGTCATCCTCTAATTCCTGATCTCACCTGAGTCAGACACTAGAATTTTTACATTTCGCCTCAAAACACCTCATCTTCTCTTTTCCATCACCGTTGCTACCACTTTGTTCAAATTCCCATCGTCTCTCACCTGGATGACTGCCACAGCCGCTTAACTGACTTTCTTCCTACAGTTCGTGCTACACGTGACGGAGTTATGTTTCTAAAAATGAAGTTGAGCATGGTGCTCCCCTGCTGTAAAGCCTTTGTGGTGCACCCCACAGGACACAAACTCAAACTTGCTTGCCAGGCATTCAAGGTGCTTGACCATCTGGCCCCAGTATCCCTTTGTCCAGTCTCATCTCCAGCCACTTGGTACCGTTAGGCTACGATGAACAAGGGCAATGAACTTGGGTACCTTCAAGCTTATTATCTCACAAAGCCCTACTGGTGAGTTAACACTCAGCTCCAGGATGCCTTCGCTCACTCAACAAACATCACTCCCTCCCTCCCTCTTTGTCTCCAGGACACATGACATGTCATATCTTTTGCCATTGTTGATCTGCATGCATGTCACCTCCCCAACCAGAAAGGGACCTGGAAGGCAGGGACAGATTGCCTTTATCTTTGTGTCTCCTGCCCTAGGTCAGTGTCCGTCCAGCTCAGAGTAAGGCCTCGGTGGTTGTTAACTGTATCAAGAATAGTAAAATACTTATGGCTAACAGGCTGAAGCACAGAAGAATTAGTATTCTTCATTGAACAAATGTAAAATGTGAAAGTTAAAAATAATGGGGGTAGATATGGAATAGGAAGAGGGGATGCCAAACCAGGGAGAAACTGAGTTTCTGTATATGGAAGTAAAGGGAAGTTCTTGGTTTTGATCTAATAATAGTAAATAAATATAGAAACAAATGTGATTTTTTGCACTAAGAGAATTCAGAAGTTTGTTCACCTTTAAAATTTGTTTTAAAGTGAAAAAGGAGGAAAAAATTTCCATATAATAGAACAGAAAAGAAACAAGAAATATAAAAATTAAGAAATAAATTATATACAGAAAACATAATGAATGCACCATCAACCATAAATTAAAGATGATAAATTCACACATAAGTTATAGAATCTTCAAGATTAGTTGAACAGGAGGACAAGCATTGCTTTAAGTATTAGCAAAAAATTAAAAATTAAAAAATAATAAAAACACAATCTTGAGGAATAAATAACCAAATAAACTTAGAGGAACTTGTTTAAAAGTGAAAGAAATTAGATATTTTAAAAGGAAAAACCAAAATACTTTGGAAGGACCACAGACACTGGCAGGAGTTGCTGCCTCTGGAGGGGGACATGTCCTATGGACACAACAGAATGATGGCAGCAAGAGACAGTCTCTGGCCAGCCAGTGTGGCTCAGTGGCTGAGTGTCGACCCATGAACCAGGAGGTCACAGTTCAATTATTGGTCAGGGCACATGCCCTGATTGCAGGCTCGATCCCCAGTAGGGGGCATAACGGAGGCAGTTGATCAATGAGTCTCTCATCATTGATGTTTCGATCCCTCTTTTCCTCTCACTCCCTCTCTCTGAAACCAATAAAAATATATTTTAGAAAAAGAGAGAGAGGGGGAGAGAGTCTCTGTCCAAGTGCTATAAGGCAGGAAGCATGCATGAGGATTTAATAGAGGCTGAGGGGATACAGGATTACCTGCATACCTGTATGAGCTTTTATGTGAGATAAATTCCTAGAAATGCAATTGCTGAGTTAAATGGTATGTGCCTTGAAAAGTGAAAGATTAATCTGAAAAGATCTTAAAGGTGAAACAGAAAAAGCATGATATGTAGAATAAATAAAGCATCATCCTTGATAGGTAGGAGTGGAATGGGAAAATGAGGTAAAGGGGAGCTAGGCAAGATAGCTCCGTGTTGCCAGGTACTAGGTATAGGCACTGACACAACAGAAAGTTGGCTTTGCCCTCCCCGGGGGTCAGCTTTGCCCCCAGAGCAGAAGCCTGGAGGACAGCGGGAACCATAAGGCTATCCGGGAGGAGATTTGAGGCAGTACTCAGTATGATGATGAGCATTAGAAAATATGTGTACAAGTTTACTTGCAAATAAACTTGTCTTGTGCCATTTTTAGTTTAGAAGACTGATATACAAGGCCACTAAATAGCTTTTAATTCAACCTGATGACTCAGTTAAAGAATGAGCAAGCTGGAATACATTACATATGCAACAGTAGCCCTGCTATAATCCACCATAAGGCAGAAAGTTCTGTAAGCTACAACTTCCCATGGGCTGGGTGGCCTCAGGCTTGTGGAGCAGGAGAAGGATTGATGCTACCATGTCTAAGTCAGGATGCTGTGCACAGAGCTTCCAGCACTATTACCACAGCACTATTACCACCAATGACTCTGACTCAATTTCCTCTGCTCTCTTTCCAAAAATTTCTACTCAGCGTACTGGAAAAAGGCTCTTAACTTTATAATGAAAAGCAGTGTAATAGATTTTTTTTATTTAAAAAATGTCCACCACCACCACTGAAACACCCCCTAGTCTAAGCCTGTGAGTGGCTGAATAACAGAATAAACTGAGTTCCCAACTAAATAAATAATAAAACTTTACTAGGGCACATCTATTTCATCGACTGAAGGCTGTGTCTATTTACACTGATTAGTTGCCAGTCTGCTTTGTTTTTAGCATTAAATTTAGCATTGAAAAATGTTTCCTGTTCCCGAAGGCAGTGCCACCCATCCTGGAGAACGGAGCTTGAAAAACTGGTGTTCAAACTGGTGTTCTAGTTTTTCAAGGCAGTAGTTTAATAAAACAGAGGTATAAGTTCTGCACTCAGACTGAAAGCTGACCTTGGACTAAACCTGCATATCACAGACACACCACACACAACTCTACCTTTATAATACCGGATGGCCAACCTAAGACACAACAGTTCCTAGGTGATCCAAGAAATCACCGAAATAGCATATTCAATACAGATTTTTAGATTAATTCAAAATTAATCACATGGTCAAAGAGCTTAGCAGTAAAGACTGGAGGAGGACGACATTTTTACAAAGGTTAAGAGCAACGCGAGGACTATGTATTGTGGCAGCTAACGCGAGGACTATGTATTGTGGCAACTGTTACAGCAAGAAACATGCTACAACCCAAAAGCATACTATTTGACTGAGAAATATACTTTTTTCTTACTTCATTGGTTTCTCCAGTTCCTCTCTTCACTTTATGCAGCTCCATGTGCATCTTTAAAGGTTCACTTGTTGTTGCTTCTGCAGTTGCAATTCAGTCCTGTAAAAGTAGCAGCATATCATTACCCCATGAGAAAAAAGATATATGCTAGGAAGTATATGCTAGCAAGTATATGCTAGGAAGCTGAGTTATCCAACCTCATCAATCTCCTTTCCTAATTCACTTTCACTAGAACTATACACAAACAGAAAAGCCAAGGTGGTGGGGAGAGAAAAAAGAGGTTATTAAAATACAAACTAGCCATTTAAAACAATTTAAAAGGCTAGTAGAAACTGAAAAAATATAAATAGAAATAAAGCAAACTCAATTGTCTCTGACAATAGATCAAAACAAGATGATTCATTAAAATCTGTAATTTTAACACTCTTTCCACCAGTGAGTTTCCCTCTCTCCCTCCTGGCTAAGTCTGAGATGCCTTAGCAGAAATGATAAAATTAACTGACGCGTGGCCTTACAACTTCAAGGATGCGTACCTTCAAGGATGTGCTATTTTCTGAAGCTCTTCCATTCAAAGCCCTGGGGATTTCCTGGCATGGAATCTAGAGGTACCGAAATGGTCTAGGCTGTGAGTTCCAGGCCAAAAACTATGTTATCTTTGTATTTGTTTCTGACCTTTACCCCTATATTGTCCCCTTCGACCCAGGGCCAATGATGGACACACAGTAACTCTTGGTGAAAAAAATGAGACAGTAACTATGTTTTCAAAAAACCACCAGAGATGCTTCATGCGATCTTAAAATTACTTGGGAAGCAGTTGAAACACCAGTTGAGTTCTTTCTTTCCCAAAGCACTTTCTTTGGTTAAAATGTTCATCAGCAGTATAACGGCCCTAAAGAAAATATACCAGAGGGTCTCAGAACTTCAAACAGAACAGTGCATCGGTACACCAGAGAGGGTTGGGACTATGACCATCTAAGAATGTAAACAAGTTTGCCCCCTCAAAAAATGTACCTCTGCCTTAGCCGGCTTTGCTCATTGGTAGAGCGTTGTCCCGTGGACTGAAGGGTCCTGGGTTTGATTACAGCCAAGGGCACACGCCTTCGTTGCAGGCTCCATCCCTGGCTCTGGTCAGGGCTAGTGCGGGAGGTAACCAATCCATGTGTTTGGTTGCCTTCTATTCTCTTTGAAAAGCAATGGAAAAAATATCCTTGGGTGAGGATTTTTAAAAAACTGTACCCCTCAGCAAAGTAGGTCCTACTTACCTTTCACCACCCTTCTATGTATGTCTTTAACATACACATAGCCAGCTTGGGAGCTTTAACTACATTGACTAGTTCTACCTTTATAACAACCCTATAAAGTGATTCTAGTATTGAAGTTGCCCAAATGGGGAAATTAAGGCATAGAATGGTTAAGTAAATTGTGCAAGGAAATGCACTAACGGCTGTTCATAGGCAGAGGTTCTTGGACAAATGTAATCTCCTAATAGCTGCAGTCTCATCCACCAATTTTACTTTCTTCTATTGCTGTCATGGTATAGTAGCTCAATGTCTAGTAAAATTAGCTCTTGTTAGAAAATTTTCCTAATTAATACTTTATTGAAAAACTTAACTTTTAATTCTCCACAACTTAAAGACTGACCTTTTCTTATTTTAAAAAATTACCCAGTGCACATCACAAAAAGGAAACTGTTATTTATGGAAATCAGGAGCAATAACTATTTTAAGCTGAATATTGACATTCACCCACTACTTCGGCTTATTAGATTTATTCCAGACACTTTGCTATGCTTACCAGATTCCCCTAACTTTAAAATAGCAAGGCCCTGGCTCAAGCAAGGCATTTATTCTTTTACTCTCTAGTTTGGTTGATTGGGACATGATGCTAATGATGCCAAAAGCTGTGGGTTCAATCCACTGCAAACCAGTTAGCTTTGCCTGCTTTATGTCTACAAACTCTTAGGCTGGATGGCATATTGTGGCTCATAAGAGGAACGAGTGGAGTGTGCAAGACAACCTGCATAAACACATCTGCTTGCCTGGATGGCATAGCTCAGCGGTTGAGCATCGGCCTAGGATCCAGGAGATCGCAGTTCCATTCCCAGTTAGGGCACATGCCTGGGTTTCCGGCTCGATCCCCAGTGGGGGGCATGCAAAGAGGCAGCCGATCAATGACTCTCTCATCATTGATGTTTCTATCTCTCTCCCTCTCCCTTCTTCTCTCTGAAATCGATAAAGACATTTTAAAAAATAAATAAATATATCTGCTGGAGGAACAAGTCCACATATAACACAGGAGCAGGACTGTGGGGAGAAGCATCAACTTCACTAAGAAAAGTTTCGTGATCATTGGCAAAGCATTTCTACCCTCTGAGTACGAAGCTCTTCTCAGTCTCAGACCTTTTGCCAGAATCTAACCTAGAGTCCCTCCTTCAAAAAACAAAACAAGTGTAGGATAAAGATAAGAAACTAAGGTTCTTAGTTTTTGCACAAGCTCTGCTTGATTGATCTAAAACAGAATTTTCTTATTCCTGACACCACCAATTCACTGACAATAAAAAGTACTTGTGACAGTTTTAGATAAAGCGTCACAAAAATATCTAGCAGTGCAGCATAGCAAGCCATCAGAAAAATCTTACTGCAATTCCATATACATATATCCCAGATTCTTTTTAAAAATTACTCTTGATTTTTTACAAAACCAAAACCTGCTCCATCTCCAAATAATATAAAGTTATTTTAGACATGCTTTTTCAAATTAAATAAAGAAACCAATCAATATCAGTCAAGATCACATTTTAAAACCCAGGGCCTGTTCAAGGTAGACATGTTACCAGCTTCTACAAATAAAAATGAAAAAGCAAAACTATATTCCTTAATTGTTATTTTTTAAAAAAAAAAAACAACCCACTTGGGATCATCCATCTTCCAGTTTTCCTGCCCACAGGTGGAAAGAACTTTCCCAATATACTAATGCTACAAAGCACATGAGTTCCAACAGTCACAAGGTAACTATGACAGCAAAGCTAAAGTTATTTATGAGATCATAAAAACTATGTGATGTAATTTTTAAAACTTTAGGTGAAACTGGCATATCATAAAAGTAGCCATTTTAAAGTATACAGTTCAGTGGCATTCACAATGTTGTACAACTATCACCTCTACCTAGCTCCTAAACATTTTAGTCACCCGAAAACAAAACCTTGAACTCATTAGTCACTACCATTCCCCTGCTCCAAACCACTAATATGTTTTATTGCTTCTACAGATCTACCTTCCTGGATATTTCATATAAATGCAATCACACAATATATGACCTTTTGTGTCTACCTTCTTTTACTTAGCATGATGTTCTGAGGTTCTTCTACACTGTATTTCATTCGTTTTTATGGCTGAAAAATATTTTATTTTATTTTATGGATATACCACATTTTGTTCATCCATTCATCCACTGATAGGCATCTGGGTGGTTTCCACCTTTTGGCAACTGTGAATAATGCCTCTATCTGTATATAAGTATTTGTTTGAATACCTGTCTTCAAATATTTGGGATATATTCCTAGAAGTAGAATTGCTGTGTCACATGGTAATTCTATATTTAACTTTTTGAAATCTTGCCAAACTGTTTTCTACAGTGGCTACACCATTTTACTTTCTCACCAGCAAAAACATGAGGTTCTGATTTTTCTACATTCTCACCAACACTTCTCATTTTCTGTTTGTTTGGGGTTTTAAAAAATTATAGTCATCCTTGTGGGTATGAAGTGGTATCACATTGTGCTTCTAATTTGCATTTCCTTAATGATCAATGATGTTGACCATCTTTTCATGTTTGTTGCCCAATCATATATCTTCTTTGGAGAAATGTCCAATGAAGTCTTTGCTCATATTTTAATTGAATTATCTTTTGATGTTGAGTTGTAAGTTTTTAAAAAATATATTATCAGATTTGAAAATCATTTTCTGCCATTCTGTACACTGTCTTTCTACTTTCTTAATAGTGTCCTTTGCTGGAAAAAAGTTTTAAACTTTGATGAAATACAGTTTATTTTTTCTCTTGTTGGTTGTGCTTTTAATGTTTCTAAGAATCTACTACCAAACCAAAGTCATGAATATTTAGCCTTTTGTTTTCTCCTAAAAGTTTTGGCTCTTACAATTGGGTCTTTGATCCCTTTGGAGTTAATTTTAGTATATGGCATGTGGTTAGGATTCAACTTTCTTTTGCATGTGGATATCCAGTTATCTGGGCACCATTTGCTGAAGAAATTGTCCTTTCCCCCATTGATGGTCTTGGCATCCTTGTCAAAAATCAATTGACTACAGAGATGTATGAGTTTATTTCTGAACTCTCAATTCCATTCTATTGATCCATATGTCTACCCTTATGCCAGTGCCACACTGTTTTGATTATTATATATTTTTTAAATTGGGAAGCATGAGTCCTCCAGCTTTATTTTTCTTTTTCAAGATTGTTTTGACTATTCAGAGTCCCTTGCAATTCCATATGAACTTTAGGATCAACTTTGCCATTTCTGCAAAAAAGGCTGCCAGGATTTTGGTAGAGATTGTGTTTCCTTGGTCTATAGTTTATTTTCATTGTCTTCAGTTCCGAGTAGAGGAACTGATACTCATGAGCCTTATATGCTCACTGATAAGAGTAAGTTGTTTAACAGGCTTCATAGAATGGCATCATGAATTCTCTCTAATATAGTTCAAACTCCCCAAATTGATTATGAAATACTAGCTACTTTACCAAAGACTGCTCAAACACACCTATTAGAGCTTACAGTGCCTACTATAATTGGGAGGGCTAGAAGGAAGACTCAAAGTCTTTCTCTTTATAAGTTTTTTGCTGAAGTCTATGAGAGAACAATTGTTTGAAGTTATACATGTAACTTGGGCTGGACACAATCTGTTCGTTGCTCTCACATCAAAATTAGAACTAAAGATGACACAGTAACCTAGGAAAAATAACTGTGGCTTTTTCTAAAACTAGCAATTCCAAAGAAATTGTATATTCCCCAAAACTGAAAGTCATCTTAAGACCAGTAGATTATTAGTCTGAAGGAAAGTGATTGCTTCACTTCCTATGTTTGGTGT